ACTTCTAGATGCTTTAAATGTTAATATATTCGAGATCACACCATCTGTCAAACCAATCGGCCAAGTGCAATTAAAATTTGACGATATCTTCCCCATGAACGCTAAACACTTGCCCTCTAAATAATATATTGGTTTATTAGAACAACACCTGTGTCAATTAGGTACTAATATAGTAATTGCAACGGATGCATCTATGAGTGGCGAGAAGGCAGGTGTGGGTATTTTTTCTCAATCATTAATCTGGTTATTTTCATTACGCCTCCCAGACTATACACCAATATTTGAAGCGGAATTAATGGCCGTTATACTAGCTATTCGTAAACTTCCTGCGACTCATTCGACAGCTGTGATAGTGTCTGACTCGTATTCCGTGTGTTCATTATTATCATCATCGTCGACATCAGCAGTACTGGAGACTTTTAAATCACTAATCCCAGCAAACATTCGTCTATTGCGAATGATATGGGTGCCAGGCCATCGTAGTATATTTATAAACGAGATGGCTGACACACTTGCGCGAACATCTCTTGATCTTCCTATTGTGTCAATCATGCCTCCTACAGCTTATCTAACTGCAGCGAGGTTTAGAAAACTTCACCTTCTTGAGGACTCATCAAAAATCATGATACCGAATCCAGATTTCTCGCATCTGCACTTCACATAGGATAATAAATGGCGTCCCACGCGTAAATTGGAAGTCTTGATAACAAAATTACGTTGCCGGTACCACCTCTTAATTTCTATTTAAACAGGTCTGGTCTGGTGCCATCCCCTCTGTGCTCAAGCTGTAACGAACCTGAACATATCAACCATTTTCTTATCACATGTAAACGATTCAAAAATCAAAGAAAATACTGCTTCGAAATTTTATTCAAGAAACTAGGAATATCACCTAATACTCCCAATATTTTGTCTTTTGTGGCCACTTCATTGGGACACAGCGACAGGAACATCTGCGGGGCTGTCTAAGAATTCATATGTAACACAAGAAGATTACCTTGCTGAGTCAGCGATCAGCTCTCGAAATTTTACTAGCCACACTACCACTTATTATTTAGCTGATACACTGGAATGATTCAACTCTCAGGAGAATTTCATATAACGATTCCACCTCAGATATTCAACAAATTCTATTATTTCTCCCCCCCCCCTTTTTTCCTTTTTTTACATTGCGCCAAATTAATTTCACAGTCAAAACACAGTAATCATATTTTCCTAGTCTAGAAAATCCAAAGGCATTGACTTGCATTAACCACCGGCTTTTTGGCCAATCCCCCTTAGTGGGTGAGAGCCACAAAAGAAAGGAACAAGCAAGCAAGCAAGCAAGCAAGCGCACCAGCATCGCCATCTCACGAGGTAGCAAACATCTGTCACAAAATCGGCGCAGCCGAAGCAGCCTTGCTTCTCTCCAGAGCTACGTCCTCGGATGGCCCGCGGTGGAAAGAAGCTTCCTGGTCACGGAGGCCGTCGTGGGCGCCACCGGGGAGGCCGCCGTGGAGTGCTTCGCATCCGCCCTCGCGGAGCACACCGCGGCGGCCGCCACCACGTTCAAGGCCGCGGGAGAGGGCATCATCAAGGTGGTGCTCATCGTGCAAGACCAGCCGGCCCTAGTAGACGCATACTGCGGGGCCTCGGGAGACAACAGCCGCACGCTAGGGTCGGACAACTTCATGGGACCAAGCGAAAATCAAAAGGCGTCGCGGCTCGTGACGACATGAACTTCGTCAACGAGGTCGATAAACCCTCCTCGGCTGCCATCGCGGACGCTATCGAGCAGGGATCAAGCACATCGAGTGGAGAGGCCGTTCAAGGTCCCCTACTAGAATTAGAGGAAGATAAACTGAGACAAGAAGCAGAAGCCCGCAAAGATAAAGAAGCGGAGGAAGGGAGGTTGCAGGAGGAAGAAGCCAATCGGCTGCAGGAGCAAGAGCAGAGGAAGGAAGAGGCACCATCCAAGGTGGAAGATGCTGGAAAGGAGCAAGAAGGAAAGAAGCAAGATGACGAAAAGCAAGATGAAAAGAAGCAGGTTGAAGAGGCTGTAGGAAGTCGTAAGGAAGAGCAACAGCTACTTGAGGCCCAGAAGGCCACGGTAAAGGAAGACGCGCCACTGATCGAACAAACGAAGTCTGTTTCACCCATCACTAAGCAAATTATGGATGTCGTCGACAATATTCAGAAGCTGAATGCCAACCCAGAACGGCCAGCCATGGCAGATGCGAGCACCGAAACTGTCAACGACATACTCTACAAGCAGGCCCAGCAGGCGCGTATGCCTGAATATGAGGTACAGGCAGTACCAATGATGCGACCGGTTGCCAGTTACGTTATCAAACGGCCCCGTTCCGAGACGAGGTTGGAGCGGCTGCTGTCGTTCTTCGGTTTAGCTTCGCCGCAGGAACCAGACCAAGAAGTCATTGAATACAGCTTTATCGAACCTACAGCAACATGGTCGCTTTATGATGGGCAGGAACAAAGACCGGTACGCTACGAGCAATACTATCAAAAACAGTGGAAGGGGAGCGAGAAAATGCTCAGAGAGGACCAATACGACGAATCATCGGAAAGCAGTGACTCAGAGGGAAGCTCGGATGACTTAGAGGAGATCGATCGAGAGGACTACACACGCAGACGCCGGAAGAAACGCAAAGCGCAAGAAAGGCAAAGCGCAAACCGCAAGAAAAAATACACACTGCACCGCGACACCCGCGAAGGCGCTGGACCGAGATTTGATAAAACAACTAAAGATCAACTGGGTCAAATGGACAAGACGAAATGGAGCACAGCTGAGTGTACTGGTGCTACCACCGAAAGAGTTTCTGGTATGGGTTACGTTGAAGAAATTACTGAAGAAGTAATGCAACCTCAACGAAACATCTACGGACAGCCACTAGGGCCCCGATTACGAAAAATGCGTGTGGTAAGACCCTTAGACGCCGTGTCCGGGAGCACTGTGCTGCATCAAGTCGGTCAGCCAAATAGCACCACTGATTGGAAAGCCCGTCCTAAGCCGGCCATCAATGAACTTTGGACACGCACGAATATTTTGCCGTCCGCAGAACAGACTGGTGTTGGACGTTTGAAGCAGACGGATTTACAGCGTGAATTTATAGCTCGCGATTTTCCCTCCGCCTATGTTAGCAGGAGATTGCACTTTCCCCAATATTTACCTTGCCCACCAAGGCGAATTCAGCCACCGTGGATGTCACGTACTTTGGACCTATGAGCACTAGCATGGACTCGGTGTGCACTTGTGCGGTGAAGTGTGGTGACCACTGTATCGGCCTTGGGCGACGGAAAAGCCAGTTTCTCGAACGCCCCAAACCTAGTTCTTGGTCCTCTACAAGCGTCTATAAGTATGAAAACACTAGGTCTTTTGAGGATAGAACACCAATTTATGGGAAACCCTCATTTAGGTCTGAAGGACGGCGACTGGAAGACCTCGAAGCCAGGATAAGAGCAGAAGAGGAAGCGAGGCTACTCAGAAGCAGGTTGCGACTCTTGGAAACGGTCCGTTATGAGGAAAAAGCACGTTTCGATGAACTGTGCCAAGAAGAGGAAGCCCTGCGACTGGAAAGACAGCGGCTTCAAAGTGAGCTGGATCGCCTTAGAGGACGAACACAAACTGACCAGCGATACCAACACGAAAATTTTGGTATCAATCAATTATGTCGCATTCAAGAGCGCTTGCGGCTATTAGAGCGAGAGCAAAATGATGCCAAGAAGAGATCATTATGCACTCGTGAAGAAGTACCAACCACAGTGCCAATCGCTATGCCGTGGCCCTATCCTGTTGCACCGTATGCATTGCCACCTCAACCTCTATCAACCGATAACAGAACTTGGTGGAGACGACCGCGTGGACGCCATGCACATAGGTGCTCGAATGCTGGTAGTGTGTCATCAGAATCTGGCAAGCGAGCATCGGGTGGTGTTTCTGGCAGAAAAGAAGCTGAAATAGAGGCAAACGAGTACTTTGCTTGGAATACAAAGAATATTTGTGAGAAAAACGGGAACTCGGCCACTCAGGGTGGCATTCCTTTCCTCGGACGTCTTATCCCCTTCTTTTCCTCAGCGTCATCTTTAGCCGACAAACCAAGCGGGAAACATGTGTCCTACAAACAGGAGCCCTCTGAGACTAAATTGGAGCCTCAGGGGGCCGCGACAAAGTGCGTGCAAGCAAATTTATTGAGAGAACGTGAATCAGGTGGAAAAATAAGCATGCAAGCGCGCAAGCCAGAGATCTCGACTGCAGACAAAGTTTTGCCATTTGATGATCCATTGACTACAGGGTCGCCAGAGCCTGAGGTCCCTGATGTTCTTCTCGTGGAGTATAGAAAGTCTATATCACCTGCAGGAATGAACCACAGAAGAAACCTTCCAAGCCCTGAAACTATTTCATCTGAGATAGACACATTGTTTTCAGAACTCTCAGAGAATGACCATGATTCTCTCCGGCTGGCGCAACAAAAGGCGAAGACAAGAAAAGACCGTAAGAGCAGTAAGAAGACAGGTAGAGACAGCAGCTCAACCGACTATAGCGATTCCAGTAATCTTACCCCTGTGAAGCACTTCGAAGGCCAATATGATGTCTGACGGAAGTGTGAACGTTTCACCTCAATCTAAGCGATGTTGGAGCTTGAGCAGTGTGAGCAGCCGCTTGTTTGGGGCACTGATGCCAACAAGCCCAAGAAAGGATTCGGTGCGTGAAGACCATTCTGTACGGAAAGCTCCATCTATTGCACCAAGAAAATCAAAAGCAGTAGCTTCGCAAAAGCCACACGACCAGTTATCTCTCGAAGAACCTGCGCATGAAGACTTGTACTCAACCGAGGATTTCGTGAACCACATGACAGGAGAGAGTGCTGAGAAACCAAGAGATGCTACTTCAAAAACGGCTGAACTTGACAGCTTACGGCTTGATGACGTAGCCGAAGACATTGTGAAATCCGAATCTATTGACTCCATTTACTTATTGCCTCGAGTGGCTTCCAAAGCCTCCGATGGTTGCGGTGCGGTCTAAAATATCAAAACGAGTGACAAAAGCATTTACAGAAAACTTTGATGATGGTGAAGCGAAGTCGCTTGACGATTTTTCCGCCGAAAATCCTTTACCATTACCAAATCCGGTTCCTGAACCTAGTGAAAAGGATGAGCATTTATTGCAGTCAGCGCCCAAATTGATCACGGAAGTTCCGGAGAAGCCGACAAGGAGAAAAGAAATAGCTCATCGCTCACAAATAGAGTCTTCTATCACTCGTGTTGACAGCGTCGTTGTTTGTAATATACCTACGGCCTGCACAGATGAAATCGCAGTCGAGAAACAGCTGTTTGAAATTATGGAAAAGCCACCACAAGACCTCTTTCCGGAACGCGGCTTCATTTCGCTAGTGAGCTTATTAACGATCTTGTGGATCGCCCTTGTTTTAAGCACCACCACCTACCTGAGCCCCAAGCTCAAAGATGATGTTTCAACAAACACTACCGTAGTCACAAGGTCATCAACCTCGAGCTACACTCAGCCTAGAAATTCATCTAGTGCAAAAACTCGTGTACCCAACTTCTACCTCTGCGACAGTGACTTCTGCGCTAAGGAAGGAAATTTTCTCAAGAGTTTGTTGAGTGAAGCGGAGTATCCATGCGAGGATTTTTACGAACACATTTGCCAGCGCTGGACACAGAGGCGAAGTGCGGAAGCGACCCGAGGAGGAACAATATCTGAAGATGTCTTTCTTGAGGATCGCATGGAACGTGAATTACTATCATCGTTCACTGACAGTGCCGCATCTATTCAACCTCCAGTGAAATTCCTGAGGGCGTGTCAAAACAGCGCCTCTTCTTCATCTGTTGATGAAGTGCGTGCAGTTTTCAAACATTGGAGAATTCGTAAGTGGCCAGTTCGAAGTTATGAAGAGCGTCGTCGTGAAGATGCATGGCTTTTTGCCGGTGAACTTTTGCGCGATATAGGCTTGCCAGCACTTGCAGATATATACGTGGCTGTTGATCCTTTTAACGTAAGAAAGGGAGTGATAACGCTGAAGCCTCCTGAGCCACTGCACTGGTCGCGGCGCACACATTCTGACCTTGTCGAACGCGCCCTCAAGGAGTCTCTGCGGACGTTTAATCTGAACGACCCTTACCACATAGAGCGTCTGACATACGAAATGATGACGGCATCTGATGTGATTGAGGGACTTGCCGACTATGATGAGAACGCTATTGTGATAAAAGGCTGTGAACTTCCTCATGGCGAATTTAAGCTGCTGAGCACAGCTGTCGATAACAAGCGAAACAGAACGAGACCTATGACGTGTAAAAGCATCAAGCGTGTGCAACTGCTCTCAGGCAGATATTTCGGAAAGCTTCCAGAGGAATTACGAAAAGTTACGGCGAACGCTCTTATCAATCACCTCGGATTTCGTGCTTTAGTTCGCCTGGCGGCCTTCTTGCCAGACTCTTTGCACGCGCTCAGAGAGTTGTTTTTCCTGGAGGTCACTGGCCGCTCCGAGGTTCCTCACATCGACAGTCTGTGTCTTCGAGCTATGGAGGTGATTCTACCACTCTGCTTGGTCAAGGCTACTGCACTGCCACTCATACACGATGGCACCGCTTTTTCGCAGCGGCGATGGCTGTCTGACCTCGAGGTCGCTTTCCTCCAAGCATTGCCACGGGTCCAATGGCTTGACGAGCGGGCACTTTTCGCGTTAGCCTTTCGATTGCGGCGAATACGTGTAGACCCACCCTATTCAATCGATCAAGTCCGGGAAAACGCGGAGTGCCTTCCGTCTGACTTGAAAGTCGGCAATACGCTGGAGGATATTGTTGGCTTATATCGAAAAATACGGAGTCGGCGTACACTATTTGAACTGCGCTCCGGTCCTGACTGGCGGCCGCTGTCTCCCCTTAGCATGTGGCCCTACTTTGACGCTGGTCTGCATCGTGTTGGCATTCCTCAAGGCCTGCTCAATAACTCAGTGCCTGCCAACAGCACCATATTTGGTTTCCACCTCGCCAGAGTTGCCGTTCGCTTTTACGCGTCAATGGTGCCTCTTTTATACTCGAACTTCGAGTATGATCGTGAAGCTGCGCTGGACTTGGGCCCCGATTCACAGCGCGCACTTCAGGGTGCTCGGCGCTGTCTGGAAGACGACTGGCGGGCACTTTCGAAGCAGGACGCGGAGAAGGTGCCACTGCCGTATAGCCTACTAGATGATCGAGCCCGTTGGCTGCGTCGGTGGCTGCTCGAACAGACGCTGGCAATCGAGCTAGCTCTACACGCCTTCCGTGCACTTCTTCTCGATGTGCGCCGCATTTGGAAGCTGCAGTATCGTTTTGTCACTTTGCCCGACTACACTCCGACGCAGCTATTCTTCATGTATTACGCCGTGGACCACTGCGAAAATGACTACGAAGGCTTCGAGCTCAGGCAGTTTCTTCAGCAAAAACGACCACCGGCAAAAATGAGGGTCAACTTGCCGCTGCGTCACGTGGGGGCATTCGCTGACGCTTTCGGCTGCAAACGTGGTGACCAGATGGTGGCTGATGAACCATGCACGATGTTCGTGCATTGAAGCTTTAGTTCTTACGGTGTGATTTATAAGGCTTGAATTAGTTGAAGTGTGGACTACGCTTTGAAAAGATAGGCAGTGCCTTATTTTTTGCTGTACGTTTACCTTAGATAGAGCTATGTGTGCCAGTTCATCTCGATTTTACGTAATGTTTATAACGAATAATACGCTTTGACATATAGAATATAATGAATTATGGCGTCGCATTTTTAAAACTAGCATGGTAACCCTGTCTGGTATGATTATTTTACTATGTTGCCTAGAAACATCCTGTGGCATATTCTTTTTGTTTGTACTGATGCAGTGGCCGAACTGTATAATATCGTTGCTTGGTACAGAAAGGTGCTAATAACAAAATTAGGTTGAATCAGCAGAAGAATTGATGTCGAATACATTTTGGCGGTGTTTATAGTAAGCAGTGTTCGAGGGTTTATGTTACACATTTTATAGCGAATAAATTATGCTCTTGTGTGCCGAGTCCACTGCAAATTCTGCAATATTTTATCTCGTACATGCTGCTTTATCGCTTTTTTTCATGAAGTGCTAACAAAAGGGATACGTTTTACTCTCGGAGTCGCATCACAGGCTGTTCAACATACATGTGAGGTCACGTCAGCTCTATGATGTGTAAGAAGACATTTTTGTTTTTGTAGCGTGCAATATATGTTTAGGAAGACTTCGTTTAACAGTTATCGCCACAGGCTATCGTGTCGTTCCAATATGTTCTTTTTTTTTCATTTGTCAGACGGTGAGGTAAAGGCTTATGATGAAAAAAATAGCCCATATTAGTGGTAAAACGATGACGTTAAAGAGCTCGGTTCGCTACCGGTGTTTGAGTCGTTGGTTATGAGCGAAAAATCATCATCATCATCTTATGCGTGACCGAAAAATTGAGAACGATGAAAATGAAGTAAATGGCAAAAAATCCTGTAGTAGAGTGGGGACTGAACCAGGGTTGTTTGAGTTCGGCAAGCGGATGTTCTACCACACGGCCACGCCTCTGCCTGTGAAAGCAGTGAAAAGAACTTCCTCTGCTTGTAAATACAGTGAAAGCAGCTTTCATGCTTCACAAACACACGCGTCTTGTATACATGCTTCACAATGCAACATGAAATATTGCAGTAATAATGCGTGGTACAAGCGGCCATTGCCAACGGGCGTCAGAATATGTGATTATCTTAGTGTCTCCGTGGTTGGAGCCCCACTACAAAAAGCATACACATCTCTACGCCTATTTCCTTAAGGCCACGTAGTGGGTGCATAGCGAATTCCTAAAAGTCTTATGCCCTAAGTTTTTGAAGTACGCACTATAGAAAGGCGATGTCGCCATCGCGTTCAACTCCTAAAGACGAAGCTTTAGGGTCCCCTAATTTTTGAAATCCAGTGTGTTTTAGCCGAGTCCTTCGTGTGTGTGGTGTTGACGTAGCATTGATAATGTGGTTCATATTACGGTTATGTGCCACAGAAGTTCGGTAAATACTACTACTCGGCACTCGTTCCCTAAAAAAGAAAAAAAAACGCAGGTCATTTTACGAGCATGGGTCACATAAAATGGCCAAATCGCACTACCCTCCACCGTTTCACTGAACAAATTAAAAAAGAAAAAAAAACAGTGCCAAGCTTGCGTGAAACCCGCGCTCCTAAAAAACGGAGAGGGGGGGGGGGGGGGGGGGGGGCTCCGGTAGGGCTAGTCTCCCGACCTTCGCCTCGCGTGAACCCAGCAAGCACAAAAATAAAGTTTTCTCTCTCTCTCTCTCAGACAAAAAAAGCTGGAAGCGCGGCCTTTTTAGAACCTGTTTTAAGCACTTTTGAAGCACCTACACGTACACTTCCATGGCATCCACTACGCCGTAAGTCATAATTTTTCTGAAGTAGAGAAACACCTACAACACCTGCAATTCTCTATTCTGCGAAGAAGCTACCCGCTGCACATCTGTACGTCATTATGGACACTTCGTCGATGCCGTGGTGGATGACGACGAAGAATTATTGGTAAGATATTTGTAATCAGTTGAAAACCTTGAACAATCCACAAGTGACATGGTTCGCACTGTGTGGTGCCAGGATGTTTCACTTTTCTATAACGTATTTATTTATTTATTTTATTTATGAATACTGCAATCCGTACTAGGGATTCTTGCCGAGTGGGTTACATGAAATAGTTGAATGCTCAATATGAAGACGAACAAATTTTCAAAACAGGAAGATGAAAACACACAGAAACAAAAGTACGCACAAAGCAACACAAATATGCGAAAATTCGAACGTTCATGGGGACAGAGCTTAATTGGCATGCTATATTAAACACTGTTATTGAGGCTAGAAGAAAACAATATTAAGGATGGCTGTAAAACTTCGGCGTTCGTTAGTTTGTTCCAGTCGTTTATAGTTCGTGAAAATAATGAATATTTAAAGCAGTTGTTACGGGTTGCATAGGGTGTTATTGTGCGCTCATGCCTTTGTCGAGTTGCATATCCGGACGAAAATGAAAGAACTTCAGAAATGTCTGTCTTGTAATGTCCCTTTACTAGTTGATATAGAAATTTTAGTCTAGATAAGCGGTTTCTTTCTGTTAGTGTTGGTAGAATAGCTCGAGTTGAAAGTTCCGTAATTGAAGTGCGCCCGAAGCTGTTATAAATAAAACGAATGGCCTTTTTTTGTACTCTTTCTAGCTTGCTGATATTAGTTTTGGTAAAAGGGTCCCATATAATGGAAGCATAATCCAGAGTCGGTATAACTATTGTTTATAAGCCAGAAGGCGGACGGAGGGGGTTGAGAGTTTCAATGCTTTTCTGAGGAAAAACAGTTTACGCATTGCAGTGTTAGTTACTGTATTAATGTGTTTCGTCCAATTCAGGTCATCTGTGATCCATAAGCCCAGATACTTGTAATGTGGGACTTGGGAAAGTTTAGTATGGGTAGTAGAGTACTCGTATTCTAAAGGATTCCTTTTATTATTTATTTGCATAAACACTGTTTTTTCGAAGTTAATAGCCATTTGCCATTCATCACATCAGGAGGACACTTACAAATGTCATAGCGTGGTTCCTTACCCGATATGGAGCCTCCATGGGTCTGTTCTTCATTCATTCTCAGCGTCGCCGTGGCTGTGGGGTAGATTATAGGGTTGCTGCATAGAGTACCCGGGCTTGAGCTCTAATCTGTGCTAAATATGTCTTATTTATTTTGTTTTCTTTATTTTGTGCTTTAGCCCTGACGGACACTGGTGACGGCAGTGGCAGCGGCGGACAAATTGACGTCAAAAGCGGTGGTTGTTGTGGTCTCTTACAGCCTTCCCTGTAAAATGAAAAAAAAAAAGGACATTTGTTGCGGGCCGGAAGCTGTTGATACTCATAGGAGACAACAAGATGAAGGGAACTGGGGGCACTGAAGGAGCACGCAGTAGTAATAAACAGAATAACGAAAAAGTCAGAATTTCACCGTAAGGAAGAAGCAATAAATAACACAGCAATAAATTGCTATGTTATATATGGTATACGTAGTAAGCACGGCCATTAACGTTTTTGTGTCTGATTTCACGAAGCTCTGCAAAACGCTGGCGTACAACTCCGATGGCATCAGTCGAGCGAATGCGCAAGAACAGTGGCTCTGTCTGGGCCAGCATCACGCGAACAATCGTGCTCCCGACTGACGAAATTCAAGCCACCGTTCCCGATTCCACTCAAGTGGACTTCCGCGTTGCCTACTCGATTCGAAACAACGTCGAGCTCGTCATCTTCAACAAGAAAATCTTCGACAATACTGATGACGACACTGGTGAGCATGGAGGAAGAAAAGCTAACGAGAGGCTCTCACAATGCGACATACAGAGGGAAAAGTGTGGCGGAAGTCGCGTGCTTTTCCAGGGCGGTTGTGGGAATAGTTGGGCACGCCAGCGTCTCGAGTCGTCTGTATCACCACTCATATGACAGCGTTGTTTATAGCCAACTGGAGTTCTGAATGTGAATTTAATTGCGATAGAAATTATATAGACACTCTCGGCTGCATTTTGCCGCTGTCGACGTTGGTGACCGCCGTGATTCACTGTATATGTATACGGATCTATATATATGAAAACGCAAGAAAACACACAATCCGGAAAATGACTTCAGTGCGCGGAGCCGAACGTCCGAGCTCTTGCTTGTAAGTGAGTGGCGTTAGCCACTGAGCCACGAAGGAGCACTTCCTTCAACGTTGAAATGGCAAGATATTTAAATCTACCACTTACGACTGGCAATGGTAATCTCAGGGCAAGTATCCCGTTTTCAGCATTACCAGCGAGATGGCGCCATGAGCACCCGTCACCAGATAGGCATTACGCGATGACGCGTGTTGATGCGTTAATTTACCACGCGTACTTGGTTCTGCGGAGGGGAGTGAGGTAGACGCTCACGCGTGCGCGCGCTTGTTTCGCGGTGGAGAGAATCATACGCCTTGGGCTTTCGCCGGAACGATTATGTTGCAGTTACCGGGCAAACAGTGGTCACTTTACTTGCTGCACTGTCTCCGTTTGCAAAAAGAGCACGCTTTTGAGACACAGCGAAGTAACAACTGAGACATTCACGTTCACCAGTACCTGTATGTGCGTTTCGAGCGTATTTGTGCGTGAGTAACCAGGGAACGTTTAGTCTGATTTCCCTTCTTCGCGTGACAATCCAATTTGTTGCAATTCTATTCCTTGCTTCGCCTTTCGGGCAAAGCTGGGACTTTTTTATGCAGCTGTTGCACCTCAAAGATGATACAATCTATTAAAATTCCAAAGTGAGCGTTGGTTTTCATGGTTGCAAGTTAAGTTAGAATACTTGAGGTCGAAAGCGGTCATTCTTGAAGCTCGCCACCACTTCTCCGAAAATAGTTGATGCCTCAGCTTCGTTTTTTTTCCTTCAGCACTGTGCTGTCTAGATTTCCTAGACGAATACGCTAGTGTCTAGTGCTCTTAGGCCACATTCACACTTGGCAAGTGAAGCAAAAACGAAAACGCCAGAGCGGCCAGAAAACCATGA